CTCCGAGTCTGACACCCCTTTTCCCGCATGGAATGATGAGGAAGGCGAGCTGCACCAGCAGCGTGATACGAGCCGTGCTCGCGTCTTGCGGACCCCATGTCCGCTCCCTGGCTTCTCGTCGACTGAGGGGCGTGGTGAAATTCAGAATTCGGACTTCATTTGACCAAAAGTGCTTTCAAGTGCAACGGTGTATCCGTGAAGCTTGCTCAGAGGAAGATATGCTTATATATTTAAAAATTGAAATAGATTTACGTAAGCTTCACCGAAAGGCAGATCGGGAGTCTCTTAAATGAACTTCTATCTCTTTGTTATTATGTAATTTAAAAAGGGACATATATTCGGAATTGAATTAATTTAGACTAATAAGTATCATTGTTTTTCTTACAGGATACATATGTGTATTGCATAACGCGAGGGTAACAGCCCACGTCGTGCGGGCCTCTTCGTGACCTAGCCTTCAGTACAAGTACTTTGCGCCTTTAAAGTTTGCACATTTTCACTAATTATTTGGTATGCCTTGCGCAACTGTTGGGAAGGTGTGATGGATTCGACTCCTTATCAAAATTCGTATCTTTTTATGTAAAGTCTCAATATGCTCAATGCAGCGCACCTTGTATTATTAGTGATTAATTAAAGCCATACTACGATCCTGCTTTCACGAGCTGTCCGAACGCGAAGCGATCTGTTGAAGACAAAGCAGCGCGTCAGCCATCACTAGTAGCTAATGTACCTCCCGCTAAATGGTAGCACTGCCATTCTGAACCGCATGTGGTCAATTCAATGGCATAGTTGAATGGATGCACGGATTTGGGATTCATGCCATTTCCGATCAATCGCCAAGACACTTGGAGAGAGCCTAGATACCGTCATCACCGATGCAGCTGCGATGAAACATCCACAACTAGCACTCCACTATAAGTAAACGGAATGGAAGCCGAAATACCGGCGAAATCGGTGGGGCGAACACTGTTGCGAAATATTTCAACAATACAAGATAAGTATGACACAGTGTGGTTCTCATTGTGGTGGAAACGTGTACCACTTACATACTGTATTATGGTCGCTATCGTTTTAAAAACTAAGAGCAAATCTCATAAATCTGAACGTAGATCTTCTCTTCTCTTCAACCAAGATAAGTAGCATGAATAGTACTCCTACAAATAAGAGGGTGTATACTACAAAAATGAACAAATACGTGGTAAACAAGATGTGCTTGCTTATCATTTTTAGTACCAGGTGCTTAATTCTAATTCTATGCCATACTTGAAATTATAGATCAAATTGGTATTTAGCTAACTAAAAGGTTTTCAGCTCCGATCCTGAGTGGAGCGTACCAACACTCATCCTGCGTGTCATACTGATGCAAATTTTATGGCCCGAATCGTACTACGTGTGAGGCGCACGCCAACCTCACAAAATTTATCTTGCGCTTTGCATTGAGACATGAAGCTCAAGTTGACAGGCGTTGTCAAAAGCATAAGTAGAGAGATCTCGCTAAAGAGTTTTTACTTGTGTTTGTTCGTACGTATTGGTGTAGAAGCGCTCAAAAGGTCGCCTCAAACGTTTAATCTAGCCTATGTGGAAGGTGATCTGGGCGTGGCGGTAGCGGCAGCAAAATGTAAATAACTCGTTTAGCTAAATATCCAGCCGTTAAAGACTTTACATGGCGACAAATCCTGTTGACGACCGGTTGACAAGGACTTCGAAAATACGAATTCAAAATGACCGTAAAAGGTCACTCCCCCCCTCGCATATGGACATTTTAACTACACCGTAGCTAACATAGTAGGGAAATGCATGCTACAAAGGCAGGAGTATTGGTACGAAATCGCTGAATATAGGGACAATGCTCAGTGCTAGAAGGCACACAAATAATATTGAATACGAGTTTATGGGTAAACTAGGTTCACAACTACCTACCCAGAGAAGTGTAAGATGTCACATTTGTGCTGTATAGCCTGGTAATCCTCTGCTTCAATGTTAAAGTTTTATGCTTCAGCAAAAAAATAGTATACTAGACCCAAATATCCCTATAGTTTGGTAAGGTTGATGATCGTGAGCTACCTCCCGGTTGGGGTTAAAATATCCATTACGGTTCTTCTAGCTACGTGCTTATGTAAAGTTCCAGCTACATGCGGTTTGCAGTAGAGTAATATTCGTTCGAAATGTAAACATACTAAATGAACCGATTTAAGTTGATCAAAGCTCTACAGCTGTGTGATTGGAGATGTAAATCCAGAGAGCGACATTACCTCCGCCACTATGTGCTTGTAGTATCACAAGAATGAAAGATACTTTAAGGATAACAATGGGATGAGTTACGCTCTCAACGTCGACATTTACAGTTATATGCCACCTGCATCAATATGTTACAAAGTCACACTGTTAGAATTTTACAGTTTTGTGAATGATCCATGGTTATGGGTCCATTACGGTAAATGATTGTAAACGCAGGCGCAATCGCTGACAGATTAAGACTAAGAGTTGAGTACATGGATCTTGGTATATGAAATAATTGTGCAAGGATTTTTACGATCTAATGATCTAAAATATATATCTACTTAATACATTTGCTTCGGCGTCACAATATTTGAGTTGTGTCCTAACATTTAACAAATTAAATGTGGTCCACTCTATTTAGCCTAAATGGAAAACAATGGCAAGCTACGCATCTTCCGCTTCGTGCATTGCAACAAAACTACATATAATGCACATAATGGAAAGAGTTTGATAGATGCAGCGGTAGCGCCAAAAAGGCAGTGCGTGGACAAGCCTTCGGTCATTCAAGTGCGTCTAGCAGAGCATATTTGTGACCTCGACGAAGCTAAAACAACAAATGACAATTACTATGGACTCTTTGTATGGCCATCAGCGCTGTTGCTTTCACAATTTATTTCCACCGAATCACGATGGCTTTGTCGCGATAAAACTATATTGGAATTGGGTTGCGGTATAGGACTTCCATCCATCCTATCTGGACTGTGTGGTGCGGCTAGAATTTATTTAACTGATCGAATTGACGCAAGCGACATCCAGCGCAACGCAGATACTAACATTAAGTTAAATGGACTTGAAGACCGTGCACAATATTTACCTTTATCGTGGGGGGATATGCATGTGTCTGAAGAAATAATATCCGTCTTTCAAACTATTCAAGTGGTTCTTGCCGCCGATTGTTTCTATCAATCTGAAGGTAGCTCGATCATCGGTTTAAAATTTTTATAACTTTTTAACTAACATTACAATGTCTAGAATTTGAAAAGGTGATAGCGACTGTAGCCCTGATTCTTCGCTGTAGTGCCTCACTAACCTGCAGCTTTTACTTCTCCTACCATCTACGCAGCATCAATCGATCGATTGCATTTCTTCTCTCTCGCTGGAAATTAATTGCTCAATCAATTGACAAAAATGCGTATGTAAACGACTTAATCAAGATAGGAGATTATCCCGCCAAAGACTTTGATAGTATCTATCTCTATGAAGTTAAACGTGCAATTGAATAAAAGCTGGCTCAGATTCGCCTTCAACATATATCTGTCATAGCTTCCTAAAAAAATTTCAATGTACCTCCTCCGATCTAGAGAGCGTATGCGTGGGGCTCTCGCGATAGTCTCTTCAGCCTTTTCGATAGGAGATAATCATACTTTTACCATTTATCGGCAGATTTACAAAATACGAATAAACCAAAAGACTTCAAAGTCCATTCGCTTGCCAATTGGGTGTTCACATGAAGCTCGAGAAGGAATTATCGTCTAGCATCACCGCCAACGTTAAATATGTTCTAGAAATTTATGAAATGAGTCAAATGACGATTGGCTAACAATATACCATATAATCTACCAATCACGATGCATTGGGTATGTGGCTGTCAAGCATGGGCTCCACACATTGAGTTCCATCATGTTGAGCCGCGTTGTGTCCTCGCTTGTCACCCGTCGTACATCTTCCTTGACACTTCGCGTGCTGCAAGCACGAGAGAAATCTTCTCTTGCTAGTCTTCTTCAAGTACGTAATACGTATTGTCATTATTGCAAGTGATGTTTACTTAACAAAGCAATGTTTCATCTTTTCTAGCGCGAGATTCGTGAAGAAAAGGGTAATTCTCTTGAAGAACCAGAGCTTGAAGATCTTCGCTCTAAGGTAGAAAAATTGTTTAAGATACAAGAAACTCCTGGATGTATGGACGTCGTGCTGCAAGGTTCAGTAGGCTCGGACTCGATTAAGATCAAGTTTAATGCTCAAGACACAGTGGAACTCGACGAAGAGGAGGACTACGATGATGAAGATGAAGATCATGGTAACGTGGAGGTTGTAGACGATGGGGATGACGAAGAAGAAGCAGACGAGCTACCTGGTGTTCGATTCACAGCCGACATCATGCGCGACAACAAGGGTCTACAGTTCGATTGTGTTGCCAGTAGCAATCTTACGGTTGAACGCTTGCGTTACTTTAAGGACTTTGCGAAAGAAGATGAAGATGAGACGCGCTACTTTGGGCCCGAGTTCATTGATCTAGAACTTGATGTGCAGGACAACTTCTACAGCTATCTAGCCGACCGTAACATTGACGACGCGCTGGCGCAGTTCATCACGCAATTTGCTGACCTTAAGGAACAGCGCGAATATCTAGCTTTCCTCGAAGATGCTGAAACCTTTGTCAAGGACTAAATTTAACTCTTGGTAAATGAATTGTCGCATACTTCACTGTGTTCACTGCTCCAATTTCTGTCTTACCCTTGCACCCGAGACATGACGCTCTGAACGAGTTGAGAGACCTTGGGATTTGACATGTGACGCATCGCAGCGGATGGTCCCTCGCTGTCAACATCTCGAAAAAAGTCTGTCAAATCCGGATCAGACCGCGCTGCGATGAGCTCAGGAGAGTTCATCAGGCCGCTCATGTCGGGCATCTCCCCTGCACGAGGTGGAGCATTAGTGTTCGCTCCACCGAGACTACCCATCATATCATTAACCATGCTGGGGTTTTGCATCAAATTCTGCGCCATCTGCATCATCTGAGGATTCTGCATCATGCTCTGAGCCATTTGCATCATTTGAGGATTATTCATCAGACCAGCCAAACCACCGCCTCCACCTAACATGCTGGCCAGGTTTGACAGGTCTGGCATTCCTCCAGCGCCACCAGATGGAGGTGAAGGCGCTGAAGTCGTTTGTACCTGCTGACGTTGACGCTCAGCCTCCGCCAGTCCATCACGACATGCAGCGTTCGTGCTATCCACTTCAAGTCCACGTCGATAAGCATCAATAGCACCGTCATAATCCCTTAATTGCACCTGTGCGCTGCCTAAGCGAGAGTATGCCTTAACGTACGACGGTTTAAGAGCAATAGACTGCTCACAGTGATCGATCACTTCCGAGTATTTGCCCATATACATCAGAGCAGCAGCTAAATTTGAGTGGTAAATGTGACTCGAAGGTCCATGCGGCGACAGCTGTAACGCCTCACGGTACAGTTTGGCTGCGCCTTCATAATCCTGTCGACTCAATGCTGCATTTCCCTGCGTCTTTGCTTCTTCAGCCTTAAGCTCTTTCTCCTCGATGGTTAAAACTGGCTTGACATCACCAAACTTTTCCTTAAATTTGAGTAATGCCTTATTTAAGCGCATAACATAATCAGTGGAGCCAGGTGTTGCGTCTTTAAAGAAGCCTTTACTGTCTAACTTGGCCACCCATTTCTTCCAGAGCTCTGGGTCTGTTACAGCATATAAACTCGTAACATAATTGCAAGTAAAGCGTCAAAAGACAAGTGAATATCTTTCACTCACGCATTTTTACAACTGGATCTTCGTCCGCCATCGACTTGGCCTCATCTGGCATACCTGTCTCCAAGCTTAGCGCCTTAAGTCCAGCTGCAAAGACTTCGTCGAATGGAATGTCACTATTAATCGCCAGTTGCCGTTTTTGCTCTGCATCGTGAATGTTTACACCAAAAGCTTCACTGCGTACACAATGAGATAATGAGATAACACTTTTTGCAGCTTATAGAGCATAGAAAAACATGAAAATCACGTGAGGCGGATAAGAGCTTCGTCAACTTGTTCTGTACCCACACCGCCGTGTGTCTTGAGTGCATCTATGTAAGCTAGAGCATTAAATAGCGTCACCTTCGATGCGTTGTCCATCGCTTTTCTTATCAGCAATTGACAATATAAAATCCAGCAATCTGAACAGCTATAAGAAATTTAGGAAATCTAAAAAGGATTCGAAGGGAGTTAAACAGATAGAATAGAGAATTAAATGGTTAGTAATCACTTACACCATGTAAGAAACGTATCCAGAATTTTCACTTTACAAAAGTCTTGCAATGCTTGACCAAATGTTTACAGCATGTTGGGCATGCGGACATTTCATCAAAAGACGTGCCGCTTTGTTGCAAGTAGTAGTACTACTAGATGAGATAAAATGGATATGTGTATATGGCGTGAAAAATTGCTATGTCGTGCAAGCGAATGGCACCAATTCCGTTTTTCGCCTCCACACCACAATTTTTCTCTTCTAATCGCCACCACTTTTGCCGGAAGTCCGAGCACGTTCTGCTCAAAGAAAACACCTTCATGTCACGCTTGTATAATTGATCGAGACGTCACACCGTAAATTGTGCCAAATTGCAATGCAAGCAAGCGTAGTACTTTGGTCAGACGCGATTAAAGATTAAGTCGGCGTACAGGAAGAAAATTTCACTTAGCATAACTTTCAGTCATGTTGTATATACAGCTTACTACAACGACTAACCGTTCACTTCCCTTTGCAAATGCGCTACAAAGACACCCCATGACGCTGCTAGTAAATAACATAGCGCTCGGCACTTGTGGTGTCTGCAGCAAAATGCAGCGGGGCTGCCGAAGCTCTTTGCTTAGGAAGCTTATTAAGGTCACCGACCTTATGTTCTATACCAGAACCTGCAGCGAGGCTGCCGTAGCTTTGCGCTTAGAGGAAGCTTAAGTTAGGTCATCGACCTTTTGTTCTATACTCAAAACAAGTACGAGTTAAGCGAATCGCAATACGCTTACAACAACCTTAGCCCAAGGCTAGTTAACTCTTCTGTTTATACTCAAAACTGACTTTATTTATTTTTATCTGCGGCAAAGCCTCCTAATTATAAATGCATAGATTTTCCTAAATATGAATAGTAAAATCTAAATACATGTATAACTACTGG